CCGCTGCTACTGACACCAGTTTATCTGGGCGCTTGATCTATTTGCACAACTAGCAGAAATAGTACCTACTATATGGGTCTGATTTGATAGCTCTCTCTGAAACTAAAGCCTCCTGGATCTAAGGAAGAACTGGTGGTGTGCTTATTGCCTGACATGGGCCAAATATGACATCACTTTTCTGTTTTGCTTTAGCCTTGAGGAAGAAAAAAAGTTAATTCTAACCCCGTTTGAACGAAACTTGGAATTTTGGCGTCAGCTTTGGAGAGTCATTGAAAGAAGGTAAAGTATATCACTATCTGCTTTTTAAAAGCAACATTTAATGTGTTTTCCTGAATTGAAGCTTCTGAGTCAACCTTCAAGTGTCTCAGCACAGGAAAAACAAGTACAGTTAGTAAAGTTTTATTATCAGCACTGAAGTGAATTTTGTTTTGAAGTGATAAAACGTGACGTGAGGAAGGGCAGCTGCTTAGTGGTGCACGCTAGCTCTCAGCACTGCGATTCTGCCGGCGGATCGCTGCCAGTCTCTGATGATTCTTCAGGTGCTGCTGCTCTTGGCTGCTTCCAGTAACTCTGTCTGGGAGGCCTCTTTTGAGAATGTGTCTTTGAGGTCTTTTGCCAGGATTAACCCTTTCCTCTCTTTCTCAACCACACAGCTGCAGCCTGACGTTCAGGGGCAGGAGGCAAGGGAGATCAACTAAATAACGTTGGGAAAGAAAGAGCCTCTTGGTCCTTGGCCTCTTGCCATGCAGAGAAATTGCAGCAGTGCACAAAAGACAACAGCCTGTCATATCACAGAAATAGCTTTGTTTGCTCTGCTGAGCTGTAACACAATAGGAGTGCTATCTGCTGCGTTAATCTAACTGGGGCATTTAATTTCACTACTAATTAAGTTTGAGATCATCTCGTCTGATTTTCCTAAAATTGAAAAATACTTCACCAGTGAGGTCATGGTGAGCTGGTCCTTTCACAGAAGTGGCTTTGTACTGGGTGCTGCTGGGCCCTTGGCCGGGAGAGAGCTGGGTTGGGAGCATCCACTATAGGGTATCATGATGTGCAGTGTGAGTCTATTGTGTGTTTTGAGGTGGCTGGAATGTGTTATTAATGCCTTTCTGCTCTTGTTGGAGCTTTTTATTTCGTGTAGAGTGAGGGTGCTGTCTCAGAATCAAACAGTAAAAGTTGTCCAGTCCCTTACCTTGCCAGATAATTTGATCCGTTGTCAGCCTTTTCTTGTGTTTGCTTCAAACTAGTTCCCAGCGGTGTGATTCAGTAACTTCTCTGTATTCCATCTCAGTACCACGGTGTCAGCTTTCTCTTGTATTGATCTTTGAATTTCTGTAACTGTTCAGTACCTCTTTGTACCCATGCAGCTTATTAAATTACTCCCTTGGGTGGTGTATTGAGATTTTTTTTTTGTATGTAAGTAACTGCCTAGTGAGGCTTGAAGTTCTTCCATTCAGCCCATGGTGTCCTGAAGCTGTCCCGAGTTAACAGAAATCCCTGTCAAACAAATAGAATCAGCACGTGGCAACCAGTATTTTAAATTACCTGCCTGGAGAAGTTCTAGTGGAAGAGGCTGTAGTTAAATTTTCCTCCTCCTTTTGAAAAAAGGAGCATGGATGCCTCTGGTATCTCAAGCCAGTGCATTTAATTTGTGCGTAGAACTGATGAGTCTTGCTCATATATGTGGTGGCAACCTGGTGTCTGGATTTGGAAGATGTTTCCTAAAAGCATGCTTGCAAGACCTTGCTTGCATGGGGGAGCAACGCGTTTTACTGGAGTCTAAGACTACTTTTTCACGCTTCTATGCTTTTTGTGACAAGAAGAGCACAAAGAAAATTCTGAAAATGCCTAATAGCAAATGCTTAGAACCTACAGGTCATTCGTGGGAGACTTTGTACATCTTCCTCCATGCAAAGGGGACAACAATGTTCCCAAATATCTCTCTGGGTAGGAAAACGACCTCTTCTTCCTCTCTGTAGCCACCCTGCCGCAGTTTGGAGATGAGACTAGGCAGAAATGAAGTTGTGTTATCACAGTTTTTAGTAACATTTTAAAGGATAGAATACCACTACTCTGGTTCTTGCCTGCTGAGCATTTCTGAAGGGTAGGTGGATTGGCACAACTCACGTGCTTCCTTTCCCCTTGCCGGCTGTACAGGAGAACTAGCCAAGCAAGGCAGCAATAGTGTGCAGT